TATCTACAATATTATTTGATTTTGAACATTTTTTCTTTGTTATTAGTGGCGTTCATGCTTCTATTTTTCTATATTTCATACTATGAGTGGTATCACTCAAGAAATCTCACTATTATTGTGTTATATTCGATAAATTAATGAATTTGTTATGATATTTAAATAATGAAAAGGGTTATAAAAAGTAAATGCAATCTGTCACTTTTTTTACAGGTTCCTGTAAATGTTTTCGCACAAATCAATTTAAATGATAAATTAATTAATTAATCTGTATAATTTTGATTTTAAGGAGAAATTTAAAAAAATGTTGTCATTTACTTAAAATTAAAATTATTTTTAAGAAAATTTTATAAAATTTAACTAACAAAAATGATCTAATAGATTCGATAATAGATGTCGCTACAATATTTTTGGTGACTTTTTGTTTGTTTACAAGCCACGGTGTTTAAAAGAAAATTTTTTTTAATTTTTCAACGAAAATCTTCGATTCTACTAGTTTTTTCTGTAATGTTAAAGTTGGATAACACAGGTAAGTCGTTTATATATTTAAACTAAATTGGTTGTAATATCTAAAATATTATTTGATTTTTAAAGTTTTTGTCTTAGTTGATTGAAATTTTCAGTCTTTTCGGTTTTTCGTGAGTTTATGAAAATATTCAATATGTTCCAAGGCTTAAGACGACTAAACCTGAATGTTTCTAGTTCTAGGTCTAATGTTAGTTCTAGTTTTACACTAGCACTATCAGTAGAACTAACACAAGACCTAGAATTAAAATCATTCAAGACGTGCGGCTAAATCCGAGTCTTTCTAGTTCTAGATCTAGTGTTAGTTCTAGTTCTACACTAGCACTATCCAAATAAGTTGACATATTTTATCAGGTTTCTTATTAATTTCATTTTTATTCAAATATCTCAATAATGTAAGGTTATAATGTAATTATAACCATAAAAGCCAGATAGATATGCCGGATAACCGGATATCCGGCCGAAGGGGATGCCGACTATCCGGTATCCGACTTTTCGTAAAATCACTATCCGTTCCATCACTAGTCCCTAGTATCGCATTTCTGAACTTTTTCCATCTATCGTTGGGTCTCCACTGTTCTTCTGATTCTACGTCTTGTCCTCCCTTTTTTCCTGGTTTTCCCAATTCTTTCAGTTTTAGTCTTTCATATATTGTTGTTGTTTCTTTCGGAGGTTCTTTCAGGTTGGTATCAGTTATTGATACGAGTCGGTGGTACGTACCCAGTTCTGCCCCTCTTATTACCTCCACATCTTGTACTGTATGATCACTAAAAAAGTAAACAATTAATTATTAACTGTAGAATTAACGTTATTTTTCGTTTCGACATACTCTGATTCTTCTTCTAAACGATTTCAACCTCATAGAGGCCTTCAAAGCATTGGAAGGGGCAGCAGGGAGACAAGGGCTACAGGTAAATACGTCCAAAACATAATATATGAAGGTTACTATAACAGGCCAAGACCCACCAGGGGTTGTGGTGCCAATGATGGATGGGTGGATCTAGTCTTGTATTGACAATATGTAGTCTTCTGCCAACACTATTTAGTCCTCTGCAACCTGCTGCAAGTAGTTCAAACTGATCAAATCTGAATTCCGTAGTTTAAAAACTTACACATAGGGATCTTCGTCTTCCTCTTCATAGGCAACCAACATTGTTATTTTAAATGGAATGCATATTATGTTTTTTTTTGTATATTTTGGTAGAAGATAAATCCCTCTATGCGATGAACATATCAAATCATATGGTTGTATAAGAAAAAGATCGAGAAAAAATGGGTTCTCTGAAAATATTAAATCAGCCAAAAATATTAAAAAAATTCTTTAACACCGGAAGTGTTAAAAACCTTCCAAAATGTTGATGGCCGAAGACAGCTACCAATTACCATACATTATTCATTACTCATAATTGTTGAAACTGTAATTTTTTTGACATTTAAAGCTGTCAACGACGTTATTTCGGCGCCTTCTTTGATTGTAATTTGCTGATTTACTTAAGACTGTCAAAAAACCCATTTTTTCTCGATTTTATTCTTATACAATCATATGATTTATCCTCTATCATATTGGTAATATAAAATATTGGTTGCCATAGCAACGAAACAAAAAACAATACAAACAAGCAAATATCGCCAAAAAATTCGCAACGATTAATAAAGTAACTTGTATTTAAAACATTTTTCTTTAAAACCACAAATGGTGAAGTTATTCGCTATATTCCATACATTTGACACACCCTGTATGATAACTAACTTCATGTTTAAAATGTCAACCTCAATTTTGACATATTTGTAATGTTCATTAATAAACCTTTAAAATGATATTTATTTTCAATATTAATGAAGTTATGGTCAACTTCTGGTTAAGAATGTCAACGTCAATTTTGATATATTTGTAATCGTCGTGAAAAATCCTTTAAAATGAGTCTAAACATGATACGTTTAATTCCAATATTACTCGAGATATACGCAACTTTTGATTTGAAATGTCAATGCCATTTTGACATATTCTTAATTTTTATAAAATGTCTTAAAATTTATCACAAAAATAAAAATACAATAAAAAAAATTAAAAATTAAGGTTGGTATTAATATTTAAAAATTAAATTGCTATCTTCATTGTTGCTAACTTCGGGTTTAAAGTTTTTTTATTCAAACTTTTTTGAGATAAGTGCGTCATCTTTGGACTCATTTTAAAGGTTTTTTAATAAAGAATACATCATGAAAGAACACCATGAAGTTGTCCATTTGTCTATTATATGATAACTAACTTCAGGTTTAAAATGTCAACCTCAATTTTGACATATTTGTAATCTTNAATGGGGTCATACACACTTATTAAATTTAGAGAAAATTTTTATGTCAAACGATATATGCAAGTATATGCATGAACACAAAGTAAAAGAAATATTTTGATCAATTTTATATTTTGCGTAATTTGAAGTGAAAAATAGCAAATATTCAAACGAAATAATTTCGCGGCTTTTCTGTGACGTAGGAACCGCACTGCCTAAAACAAGTTAAATTGTCCGTTAGATAGCGCTTGCGGTGTGACAGTGTCAAAATAAAACCATGGATGTAATAGAGTGTCTCTATTACATCCATGAACAAAACATAATAAACATAACCTACAAACACTCTATCTCTTTTCAATACAACCTAAATGACGTTCATCTCTTTCTCGCATTTGAGCGGGGAGCAGGGGACGCAAAAGTGAGAATCGTACGTCATCAACGCGGGAATTTTAAAAGCGCAAATGGGTATATAAATTTTCAATAATTTTTTTAACAATGACTTTGTTCGAAAATATTAAAAAAAAAAATAACGGTAACTATATTTTTATATAAACTTTCAGAAAATATAATAAAAAAAAAATCGTGTATGACCCCATTAAAAAATTCAGAAATTAAGGTTGGTATTAATATTTAAAAATGAAATTGCTATCTTCATTGTTGCTAACTTCGGGTTTAATGGTTTTTATTCTAACTTTTTTGAGATAAGTGCGTCATCTTTGGACTCATTTCAAAGCTTTTTTTAATGAAGATGACAAATATGTCAAAATTAACGTTGACGTTTCAAACCGGAAGTGATTGTATCTCCAGTAATATCAAAGTTAAATATGTCGAGTTTGGACTCATNTTGCTAACTTCGGGTTTAATGGTTTTTATTCTAACTTTTTTGTTTTTTGAGATAAGTGCGTCATCTTTGGACTCATTTCAAAGCTTTTTTAATGAAGATGACAAATATGTCAAAATTAACGTTGACGTTTCAAACCGGAAGTGATTGTATCTCCAGTAATATCAAAGTTAAATATGTCGAGTTTGGACTCATTTTAAAGGATTTTTTATGAAGTTGACAAATATGTCAAAATTAATAGTTGAAAGTTCGAACTTGTTGTTTTTTTCAGATAAATGCGTCATGTTTGGACTCATTTTAAAGGTGTTTTAATAAAGAATACATCATTAAAGAACACCATGACGTTGTCCACTTGTCTATTATATGATATCTAACTTCAGATTTAAAATGTCAACCTCAATTTTGACATATATATTTGTAATCTTCATTAAAAATCCTTTGAAATGAGTACAAACACGACATATTTATCTTCAATATTAATAAAGTTATGGTCAACTTCCGGTTAAGAATGTCAACGTCAATTTTGACATATTTGTAATCGTCGTGAAAAATCCTTTAAAATGTGTCCAAACATGATACTTTTAATTCCAATATTACTCGAGATATAAGCAACTTCCGGTTTGAAATGTCAATGTCATTTTGACACATCCTTAATTTTTATAAAATGTCTTAAAGTTTGTCACAAAAACAAAAATACAATAAAAAAAATCAAAAATTAAGGTTGGTAATATTTAAAAATGAAATTGCTATCTTCATTGTTGCTAACTTCGGGTTTAATGTTTTTTATTCTAACTTTTTTGTTTTTTGAGATAAGTGCGTCATCTTTGGACTCATTTTAAAGGTTTTTTTAATGAAGATGACAAATATGTCAAAATTGACGTTGACGTTTCAAACCGGAAGTGATTGTATCTCCATTAATATCAAAGTTAAATATGTCGAGTTTGTGCTCATTTTAAAGGATTTTTTATGAAGTTGACAATTATGTCAAAATTAATAGATTAAATTTCGAAATTTTTGTTTTTTTGAGAAATGCGTCATGTTTGGACTCNTCAAACCGGAAGTGATTGTATCTCCATTAATATCAAAGTTAAATATGTCGAGTTTGTGCTCATTTTAAAGGATTTTTTATGAAGTTGACAATTATGTCAAAATTAATAGATTAAATTTCGAAATTTTTGTTTTTTTGAGAAATGCGTCATGTTTGGACTCACTTTAAAGGTTATTTTATGAAGATTCCGAATGTAATAATAAAATTAAAGTTAAAAGCGATAAAATGTCGCTTAGTCAAGTGATGTATAACGCGATCCAATTATAGAAAATCGAGTAAATAAGATCTGAGATTTATTATTGCAACAAACTGTATTTATTAAAGATAGTAATAAAAAAATACAAACATTTTTTGATATTCATTTACACACTACAAAAATATTAACAAAAATATATACTTTATTTTTATTTACGAGGTAACAAACGTATTTCTTAAAATAGAAAATCTTTACTTCTTTTCCATTTAAGGGTACCCATTAGTTGTTATCACTCAACTTGATATCACAATATATTTGTTTTTTTTTTTATCAAATAAGTACTTATTTAAATGTAAATAACGCTCTAAATACGAACACTTAATCATTAATTTGTTCCATTTCTTTGTTGATACTTTGAAAGGCGATGCGTGATTTTCTTTCTTAAATCAACATCTCTTCTTTGATAACTGACCCCAAACACGGAATTATTTTCCTCGCAATATCTTATGAGATATCTCCAATTTTCGCAATCGGGATGATCCGTGTTTAAAACCATCGGGTTTCCCACCACGATCAATTTGCTCATAGCCCTAGTTAACGCAACGTTCATTCTTTTCGCATTTTTAACAAATCCCAAATCATATTTAGCATCGTACAATAACAAATCACTTTGACCACGAACCGTCGTTATAATAATAATTCTTTTTTCGCTACCTTGATAAGCCTCGGTTGTTCCAACTTCGATTTTGGGGTAATGTCGATTTTTTAATTCGTGTTTAATACGATGTACTTGTCTTATGTAAGGTGAAATAATTCCGATATCTTCTTGTTCGACGCGAATATTATTTTGTTGCATTAAAGCCGTTACATATTTAATAACAACGCTAATTTCAACTTGATTAAAGTAACTGGGTGATTTTCCGTTACGTTGTTCTTTGGCGATTACGGAATAAAATTCAACGGGGAATCCTTGGCGTTTATGTTGACCGGTTTGGAACAAATTTGGTACACATAATCGACTAATTGGATCGTTTTCAGCTTTTTTATTAACGGCTCTTAATTTTCCTTCGTAAAATAGATCATTTGGGACGTGTAAAACGAAGGGATGTGAGCGATAATTTAATTTTAACATGCTAATAAAGCGCTCGTCGTATTTTCCTTCATTATCCGATTGATATAAATCCATGTTCATTAAGCGCTCTAAAATCGATAAGGATAATCCTTTTCTTTCGGCTACTTTCGATTGGCAAACTGGTCCTAATTGTTGCGGATCCCCCGCGATTATTATTTTGGCGGTTAAAACCATACTGATGGCGATGGCAGCCTCTGGTTCCGGGGCTTGGGCGGCTTCATCGATAAAAACGTAATCGGGGATGTATTTCCCGGTGAATTTTCCGATTAAAACTAACGTGGTAATTATAATTTTGTGCTTTGAGAGTTGGTACGGCTCAAGGCGGGTGTAATGAATCCCATCGTGGTTACTGTAACGTTTAACCAAGCTTGGGACGTCCTCCCAAGTACGACTTTCAGCGTGAATTCGGAGCAAATCACCTTTTTGGAAGTTCCCCACTTCGGCTAATTTGATTGTTAACATATCGCAAGCGGCGTTTGATGGGGCGCAAATTAAAATTTTTTCGCTCGGTTTATGCTTGGTTATCTAATAATAAATTGAAATTAATTGGTTAATATAAATATAATCACTGAAGACGATTTTTGGATCTTAATTAACTATTATAAAACAAGCAAAGTAGACCACTACACCTATAGAAACACAGAAGAAGAAAGAATCACGAGGAAATCTAATGAAATATCAACTTTAAATATTGATAATGGACACTTAGTGGATAATGGTTGATAATGGTTTTGCAGAATATCTGGAGAAAATATTCAGGCCCCACTTCTTGAGCACTCCAAATTTCACAATTTTTGTGATATATAACAAAAACCATAATCTGGTATGGAATAGTAACTTTCAAAAAGTCAAAATAAATGGGATTCGACAAATCATTAAAAATCTGAAAATTAAAAAAGCTCGAAATTCGGCCATAAAAATCTATCGCAAAAAGGAGTACAGTATTTGAAGAGATTATCCTGTCTGGAACAAGATTATTTTCCAAGTTGGTGGAAACACGTACATACTTATGTTTCCAAAACCAGGGAAGCCCAAGAGCATCATCATCAGCACCGATTAGTCTATTATCTACATTATCTAAAATCTTAGAAAAAGTAATTAATTACCGCCTATGTGAAGCATTAAATGAAATGAATGTCATTCCACACTTTCAATACACCATTACGTGGTAGTTTATGTCGTTTTTCATTCTGATTCTAGATTTTCAGGATTTTGAGATTTTTTTTTAAATAGCTTTTTCAAAAGTATTAATTAAACTAAACCTAGAACTTGAAAGTTGTGTGCGATTTCCGGGACAATATTGATTGCTGTTGACTATCCCCTCTATATGTATAGGAGATAAGAAGTGCCAGAATAAATTTGTTTTTATTATTATTATTACAACTGTAAAGCGGCCCATACACGAGAGTCGTCGCATGCGGCGGAGCTTAACCGCCTACATACATCGACTCTTGAGGCGCCGTGCCGCAGTTGCCAATGCATATCTGGCCAGATAATAGCAAAGAAATTGGCTGGAGAATACCAATACTACTTGCAGAAAACTAAATACTTCTTATAGAGGATTAAAAATTCCTTGCGGAAGACAAATACTACCTATACAATACTAGAAACTGCTTAAAAAGATAGATATTGTCTATAGAAACCTAAATATTGCTACCAATAGACTACAAATTGGTTGCAGAATATTAATACTACTTATAGAAGATTAAATACTGCCAGCAGAAGACTAAAAACTCCTTGCGGAAGACAAATACCACCTATACAATACTAGCAACTGTTTGTAGAAGAGAGATATTGTCTATGGACGGCTAGGTACTGCTACCAATAGCCAAGGAATTGGTTCTAGAATACTAATACTGCTTGCAGAAGACTAAATACTTCCTATAGAGGACCAAAAATTCCTTGCGGAAGACAAATACTACCTATACAATACTAGAAACTGTTTGCAGAAGATAGATATTATCTATGGAAGGCTAGGTACTGCTACCAATACCAAAGGAATTGGTTCTAGAATACTAATACTACTTGCAGAAGACTAAATACTTCCTATAGAGGACTAAAAATTCCTTGCGGAAGACAAACACTACCTATACAATACTAGAAACTTCTTAAAAAGATATTTATTGTTTATACAAGGCTAGGCACTGCTACCAATAGACTACAAATTAGTTCCACAATACTAATACTGCTTGTAGAAGATTAAATATTGCTGGCAGAAAGCTAAATACTGCTAGACAATTTTACAAGCTCATTTATGGCGGTAGTTTTTAAGTTTTTGTTGATATAATTTTTTGATTTTGAGTCCCATAAACATGGGTACATTCTCTATAGGTTTATAAATTTTTCCCAAAAATCTTTTTCGGCGAACGATGCCATTTCGATGGACGTTGGAAACAAACTAAAGCGATACTTTCGGTGTCGTATGCACGTCGCAATCCCATACACGTTGACTCTTGCAAGGCGCCGGAGCCTGCCACGGTTTTGCCGCTTAAGAGAAAGTAAAACTCTAGTGTTATCGAACATAAATTAAAAAGGATTTCAAATGAAGCAATACTCGATCGATATCGCCCAAGCTTTCGCTTTCGGCAATGTATGGACCAACGGATTAAATTATAAAATATTACACCTGGATCTTGACACAAATATCAAACAAATACTAATATCCTTCCTGAAAAACAGATCTTTTTCTGTTAAAATTCATGAATCCTTCTCCAAAACAAAAAAAAAATTAACAATTATTAGATGGAACGACTTATGGCCCCTCTTCACTATGGCCTATCATGGACCACTGCGACCCATCGCCATTGTGTTAGAGGGGTGATGGCTTGAAGTGACCACCACACATCAAAGGGCGCCATCATGCGCAGCTAATTGCGCAGTGGTATGCCGTCATTGCTAAACCATTTCGGTCGTCAACAGCACCTGTTGCTTAACGTGGTCCATTAGGTGGGCCATCTACGCTATACCACAGTGTGGAAGCAAACATGCTAACCATCATCAATGGTGATCATCATGGCGACCATTCTAGTGGTCCATCATGAGCCATAGTGAAGAGACGAACCTGTCAAATATCTAGGCATATTTCTTGACACAAGATTAACTTGGAAATACTATATACTTCAAAAAATTAATCAACATTACGGAAAGTTGAAACAACTGTATCCCTTGATAAACAGAAGAACAAGACTTAAACGCGAAAACACCTATGCCTGCGTTGTCTGGAGAAACTTGGCTAAATCGAATTTTAATAAGATTAAGGTATTATAAAACAAAATATTACGCATAGCAAAAAGAACATCCACTATCGACTTAAAATGGATCTACTTGAATTAAAAATACTGATTTGGCAATAAAAAAAACAAAAACTTTTTATACAAATACCTGAAGAATCGCTTCTACAATCGTAACGGTTTTTCCAGTTCCAGGGGGTCCAAAAAGGATGTAAGGCGCCGGGAAGGCGGTGTCATTAAGAATCGATAAAACGGCTTTTCTTTGTTCGGGATTTACGTAAATGCTGTCATTGTAGAACTGTATATTTGAGATATTAAACCGTTCCGCAATTATTCGGTTCCTCAACGCGACGTCGGGGAATAAAGTTGCCCTCAAATCTTTTTTGATACACAAATCGACTGCACTGTGTTTTCGCTCGTAAGTTAACCTCCCCAATTTGAAAGCGACGTCGAATTCGATAAACGCATTTGCCTCCACCATATCAAGCAATCTAAATCAACGCAAAAAGTCAATTACAGTGTGTTAATTAATTATCGTACCCGAGTATGCAACCAATATCACAACTTTGGTATTGCAATACGCGATTTGCGTATTTAGATATATTCGGTGTGATATTGGTTGCATACTTGCAATGATGCCGTATATTAATGTGTATGAAAAATTTACATTGGGTCGACGTTATGTATCCAAATCGTTCTGTCATTAACGGATTTAATGACTCCTTCGTACGCTGTATGATCGCGGTGTAATCGAATTATGATTACATCTCCCACCATAAGTGATGGGCGTTTTTCTGCCAAACCATCAACGACTAATTCTAAAGTATTCGCTATTGGGATACACATAGTTACCTAAAATTATTATATTTTTTTTAAATGTTCATTTTAATTTAAATTATTGTACATTAGATAAGTTGTATTGACGAAGACTAAGCGCTTGGCAAGCTTCGTCTAACCATAAAAGGTAATGGAAAAATTTGTCGTAATTTTGCGACGAAAGCTTAGAGATGTAGTCTCCAGTTTGTTTATCTTGAGTACCCAAGAAATTCCTTAAAAAAATTATTAACATCTTAAAACCGTTTTAATTAAAAAAAAAATTAAATAAATACGTAATCATCTTGATGATTTCGCGTTGTTCAGGTTCCGTATCTTTAGTAATTTTTAAACCACAATAAATCGCTTTAAAATGGTCTGTAGGTATCGAATAAACACCTTTCACAAACGGTTTAGGATTAGCTGGAATTATTCTAACGTTATCGGCCCAATATTCTCCTTTGAAATGGGTACTTCCGATTGCTTCATCGATCGGTTGATAATCTTGGACAACAACCATCTTAATAAATAAAAATAAATGTTTTAAAAAATAAAAAAAGATTAAAAATAAATGGAAAAATTCAAGAATCATTATGTTGTGGCCAAAGAAATTGTATATATAGAAGCAGTTGTAAACACTAAAACTTGAAGCCAACGCAACACGCAGTTTATTTACAACAAGCTTTGTCGAAACCAGTTAAAACGTGCACAGATCGGACCAACGGCCGATTATCGCCGAACATTCCCGAATATTATTGCCCCTAGAATAAGGCATACACTAAAATAAATAAATCTATTTGCGAATCAATAAATGATTCGTTTTTCTTCATTTTTACTTATTTATATTTTCTTTGTAAATAATTTGTATATACAGGGTGTCTCAGCGAGAGCGGTCATTAGACGCTTCTGTGGTTCTGGCCAAAATAAAAAATAATAAATTATACTTTATTTTTTTAAATGGAACACCCTGTATATTTTTACATATTTGGATTTGTCTGTTTTGAAGGTTTATAAATAACTTTACTTTTTGCAATTTGATTCGGCCGTTCTCGAGTTATTCGATTTTTTCTAGAAAAATCTGCTCCAGCGGACATTTGTTCAAAAAATCATAGAACACTCGATTTTTGAGATATCAATTTAGGATTCAGAAGAACATGCTTAAACAACATGATGGAGTATGTTTTGGTGCCGAGAACGGCTGTATAGATCGTTTGGTCACTTTACTATGACACGTTAACTTTTCGAAATTTGGAACTACCATAACTTCATTTTTTAAATGGCACCCCCCATATTTTATTACTTAGTCGTCTTCGGCGTCTCATTTTAAATCTTATGTCCTATGCCTAACATTAATAGTTTGAGAAATAATTAGGGTTTTTTGAAAAATGCTCACATCATATCGATATTAACCTAGTGTGCCATGGAAAACAAATGTTTAATGACTTATATTAAAAAACGTGCCATAGTAAAGTGACCAAACGTTCTAGACACCCGTTCTCGGCACCAAAACATACTCCATCATGTTGTTTAAGCATATTCTGAATCCTAAATTGATATCCCAATAATCGAGTGTTCTCTGATTTTTTGAACAAATGTCTGCTGGAGCAGATTTTTCTAGAAAAATTCGAATAACTCGAGAACGGCCGAATCAAATTGCAAAAAGTAAACTTATTTATAAACCCTGAAAACAGACTGACAGAAACAGATACTCCAAATATGTAAAAATATACAGGGTGTTCCATTTAAAAAAATAAAGTAGGTGGCGACTTCCGGTATAACCGGAAGTGCAAGAAATCTGAAAATATTTTAGTCGAAGAGATCGTAATTGATAATACTTAAGTCTGAATTCTCAAATTTTTATTTTCGCCAGAACCCCAGAAACGTCTAATGACCGGTCTCGCTGAGACACCCTGTAGAGTATACTAGTACTTTTAGTTGGATATAAAACTTATCAATCAAAATACTACATACATACTTGTATCAATTACCAAGTATATTGTTTCTACGTCCTCTGATTAATTTAAAAAATTACATTATATTTATTGCGTTTAATACTTTCAAGCCTTATTAAAACTTGACAAAGATATAGAAAAAAAATGTATTCTACAATTTATAAAAATGTTGCGACAATAATTTTTCAATTAGTAGTTAGTTTAACAATTAATTTTTAATTGTAATTTTATATAAGAAATTTGGATACGCCGCTGGATAAAATCTGACCAATTTCATCTAAATCGTACACGCCACTGTCGCTAGGACCAAGGTCAATTTTGTTTCCAAACAAATGCTCTTGCGTTGGCTTCAAACCAAATATCTAAATGACATGCCCAAACTTCAGGGGGTGATTCTTTAGGCAATTTTAAGGGTACTTTGATATATAAACCATGGGTGACTTGGGCTCCCCTAAGGAGCTACACCCCTCCAAAAATGGCGGAAAATTTTGGTTTAATTTTTTTTTCTCAAAAACCATAAACGCCAGGACAACGAAATTTGGGGAATATGTTTAACTGGTAGTAGGGCACGGTTTCACCCTATTTGGACTTTCAACCTATCCTTCTAAACTACTAAACGTAACCACCCTCTTTACATTTTTGCTAAAATTTTTTTATGCAAAGGGCAAATACATTAAAAAAAAAATTACATAGGTAGATGAAAGTATCCTAAAACTTTTTTGTCTCTCTAAAATTTTTCCAAAAACGACTAATTTTTGAGATAAAAAATAATAAAGCATACACTGCCCGTTCAACAACGGGGTTGTCGATCAAAAGTTGGAATGAATTTTTAATGAAAAAATCTTAGTAGGCTTTGCAATCTTTGTCAGAAATATTTTTGACGTTTAAATGTCAGTGGTTTTCTTACTATTATTATTGTTTTTCAAATTAATTTATGAATAAAGTTCTACCGCATTTACGCTCGTTCACTCGACGTTTCAAAATTTTNATATTCCATATGTCCTATGCCTAACATTAATAGTTTGAGAAATAATTAGGGTTTTTTGAAAAATGCTCACATATATCGATATTAACCTAGTGTGCCATGGAAAACAAATGTTTAATGACTTATTGACAAACGTCAAAGTCTGATTTACGTTGTTTGATGCTTCTGAGTCTGAAACCAGATAAAATAAATATTGATAACGTAAATAATGTTTATACGAATAAAGAAATCCATAATTTATTTTTTGTGCACGAAAAGTGCGACAAAGTTCTTTGTAGAACTTGTTTAATGAAAATTATCCGCATTTACCTCCGATGACAAAAGATAAATTTAGAAGAATAGAAGCAAATTTTTTGCATTTTGGACGAATTAATCACGTGTTAAACTGACCAAAAAATGTAGTCGATAATGCAACGGAAGAGGTGAATGCGTTGGCTTATTTCGAGCCCAGTCCCAACACCTCAATTCGAGCTGCCAAAGAAGATCTAGGAATCATACTACGAACTTTGTCGCGCTTTTTATGCATAAAAAATAAATTAAGAATTTCTTAATTTGTGTAAATAGTACTTTCGTTATTGTTATCGATTTTAACTCTTTTCAGTACTAATATTAAGGGATATAACAGATAATTATTTGCTCACATGCATCAAATGAGGTAAACAAGTGAGTCTTTGACAAGAACTCATTGAAAAGGCTTGTTTTTCATGGCACACTAGGCTAAATATCCATATGATATGTGTGCATTTTTCAAAAAACCCTAATTATCTCCTAAACTATTAATGTTAGGTATGGGACATATGGGATATAAAAGATGTAGAATGAGACGCCGAAGACGACTAAGTAATAAAATATGGGGGGTGCCATTTAAAAAAATGAAGTTATGGTACTTCCAAATTTTGAAAAGTTAACGTGCTATAGTAAAGTGACCAAACGTTCTAGACACCCGTTCTCGGCACCAAAACATACTCCATCTGTTGTTTAAGCATATTCTGAATCCTAAATTGATATCCCAATAATCGAGTGTTCTCTGATTTTTTGAACAAATGTCTGCTGGAGCAGACTTTTCTAGAAAAATTCGAATAACTCGAGAACGGCCGAATCAAATTGCAAAAAGTAAAGTTATTTATAAACCTTGAAAACAGACAAATCCAAATATGTAAAAATATACAGGGTGTTCCATTTAAAAAAATAAAGTTGGTGGCGACTTCCGGTATAACCGGAAGTGCAAGAAATCTGAAAATATTTTAGACGAAGAGATCGTAATTGATAATACTTAAGTCTGAATTCTCAAATTTTTATTTTCGCCAGAACCCCAGAAACGTCT